AATGCTACAGACAAGGCTGGCCTGCCCCTAGCCACAGGTACCATGAGTGGTATTACCTATGCAAATCCAGAACTTCACCCTGAAACCACAGGTAAGTAATTGGGGTTGAAGCCTGACCTGGTCTGCTTTGCACAATAATTTTAATATATTTTAAGTAGCATCAGGTTACACTACCACAGCATCTTAAAAAAACCTTGACACAGACATACATGCAGCATTATACCTGAGATACAAGATTTGCAGCAGTCGAGTACACTAATCTAATCTTCATTTTTCTCTACTTTGTCCTGGTCAGCCCAATTCAAGCCAAGCACAATATTTCTTGTTAAGGTCATTAGAATTTACAAATGAAACCTTAAGACACTGGAGACAGATAAGGGCCCACAAAAAAAGACTGCTATCTGAAGGTGAAGGAAATCCCACAGGGCCACTGCTTCTCTGCACCTCTTGCTCCCTGCTGCCCCAGCCTTTACCTCCTTTCATGTCATTACCATCTCCCTGAGCTAATAAAACGCAAGTGTGCCATGGCAGGCATCGCAGCAGCAAACAAAACTACAAAGGCAGAAAAAGACTGATGTTACAGCATCCCTTTAATCAGCAGTAGAACAGAAGTTTAATGTTTATAAAGTAAAAAACTAAACTGAGAGCCCAGCTTCCCCAAGTGCTCTGTCCCCTCTCACCAGGATTACTGGGCATCAGGGGTTGGTAGGGTCCATGTCCACTGGAGACAAGCTGCGCACTCTTTGTTAAACTGCAACAACTTTGGAAAAGATCAGGGTGGGCTGACTTTAATGTAACTTCATTGGGTTTCATCTCTTGACACAGCCCTTTGAACGTGTACTTACTGAAAATGAGGTGTTTTCTCATGCTACTGAGGGATACAGAAATGAGAACAACAAAAAGAAGCCACATCATGGTACACCATGGTAATGTTTTACATCACAAGAGATAGAAGTAATATTCCGCGCTTATTTTCCAATTTCTAATTAGAGATTGGTTCTTATCTAGCATTTAAGTAGTGACTGATCTTTTGAGGAAAAACCCATGTAGTAGGTAATCATGATTGAAAGAAAGGGAAAACTTAAAAATACGTACATACACAAAGACAAGAAACATGTCAACACCACTTTACCACTTTTGTATTTTATTGTGGAACTGAGTTTGTTTCCTTTACATCAAATATCCTCAATGGAAGAGGGGATATTGCACACAAATATCATAAAAGCACTACATATTACTTTCACTGGAAACTAATTTTCTACATTAGATATGACTGGATAGAATAGAAGTGATGCAGGATTATAAGACATAATACCATACACAGCTGCAGACTGACACAAACACCATTCAGAACAAGAGAGAGGAGGTGTGTGAGGTGCTTCTCAGCCAGCAACAAGACTGTTTCTTTCCATAGTTTGAAAGAGAACGGCTGCATGCAAATGCATGAAAGCATATATCAGATTTCCTCTTTTACAGTTGTGATTACAGCCCAGTCTTGAAGAGGTAGCTCCTGCCATCTGGAGCTCCTAGCTAGTCTAGTGCGGAGAAGCTGCTTTTTCAATTTTTTTTTCTTCTTTTTTAATTTTTTTCTTTCTATATTCTTATGCCATTGTTTTATGTAGTTACTTTTTTTTTTTTTAGTTTTTTTGTAAAGTCACAACAAACAGACTTTTTTCTTTTTTTTTTATTTTAAATAGCAAACATTTTAAAACCAGGTGAATAATATAATTGCATTCTAAGAAATGCTTTCCCCTAGTTGCTTTTAGTGTTTTGTTCAATTATTAAGTGAAAAGATGAAAGCTTACAGTTTCTTTGAAGTGTAAACATTATCGTTTTTTCTTTTCTAATAAATCCAGACTAACAAAATTACTATTTCTTTCAAAGCATCATTACTGAGCAAGAACCTCTGGCGACAGATGAACAAAGAGAAGCAGGTGACAGAAATGTCCCAAATGCACAGTAAGCGCTCTTTGGAGCTGACTTGCTTGTTGTGGGAGGGATTGCAAATTCAATTAACAAACTGATTAAATCTTAGTAAATGAGTACTGGAACTCTCCTAAAATGCATAAGCTATCATAGACAATTAAAAAAACCACATTCATATACACAGTTATCGCCATTCACCACAGTATGTAAAGTAAGTAAAAAAAAAAAAAAATCAAAAGTGATTTCTATGAAAGATGGGGTGAAAATAGAGGTCAATGAAGTCAAGCCCACCACAGGACTTTGAAGAGGCATGCAAGAGAGGCCCTGTCCAAGTTCAGGAGTGGAGTGGGATCTCCAAAGTTAATTCTTCATTGAATTATATGAAGCAATATAGTAATAGCATTAAAGATCTTGACTGGGTATGCTGTTAAGATTAATACCATCATTTAAATGGAGTGTCCTTTACACTCAGATATTGAATCTTTATAATTAGAGTAATCAAAACAAACCATGCTCCTAGAAATCTATGCTGATCAACAGCACTCATCATTAATGTACACGGTACATTCTGATGACTGTTACACTAAACTAATTGTGTAGTACTAAGACTAGCACACTTAGATTAGTTCCACAGGCAGGAAAGACATTAAGGGCAAGAGGAGCTAATGGAGGAGTTCATTGCTGTGTTGCACCCAGGTGCCGTTGCCATTTGAAAGGGAATGGATGGAACAGGCATTACAATACCTCAGAATAGCCAGACTGGGGTTTTAATATTCTTATAGCAGTAAAAAAATGAATGCACATTTTAAGATCAGCTATAACTGTCCAATTATTATTACTATTGTTTTAAATGCAGAACAAATGCTTGAGCCATCACAAACTTGTTTGGGGAGACTTAAGGCTTGATTCCAATTTCATTTACAGTAGGACCAAATAACTGTAACTTCCCTGACTGTAGTGAAATTGTTCCCGATTCACAGGAGTAAGTGGTATAAGTGAGATTAGTCTCAGGACCACTGCTGTACCTAAAACAGATTTTCTGTACCAAAGCAGAGATATAAACCATTACAGATATTGTCAGAAAATCAGAAAATCTGTTCCCACCCACTCAAAAAGTTTGAAATCTGACCTATATAAGAAAGTAGACAAAGCAAAAGGAATTGTAGAAATAGTACAACTATTCTGCCAAACATTTTGTCTATAACTTTGTAGACTATGTATTACAAAAGCAATTTTAAGTGAATGATTATGAGCCCAGCAAACATGCTTGTTTCCACAATACATTTCCATCTGCCTTTTGTGCCATAGTCATTCTAAGTTACTCTTAACAACTTAAAAGGTAGAGCAATAAATAAAACAGCATTGCTAGAGATACCTAAAAAAGATAAGACATTAAAAATAAATCAAAACCCCCAACAACTGACAAACAGTAATTCACAGTATTAAATGGGCCTCAGGAGCCCACATTTAAAGGACCCTAAAGCAGTATAAAAAAAACCCTCATAAAAATTAGGAGTGCAAACATATACCTATTAAACAAAAACATCCTAATAACGTAAAATTAAAATAAATTATAAGTAAAGACAATAAAATGAGGTCATAGTTCACTATATCGTGAAACTTAATACCAGACATAATGGTGATTCATAAAGATCAGCACATATCTCCATACTAGAGGCCTTTACACCTTCTTTAAATTCAGATTTGCAAACCTTCTACAATGTAACAAGATTTTTTTAATTGGGGTAAAATTTCTGAGACTAAATATCCAAACTGTCTTAAATCACAGAACAGTGATGCTGTTCCTCTGCAAGCAGACTAGAGAAGGAAAAGAAAGGGGAGAGGAAGGAGGAAAGGAAAGGAAAGGAAAGGAAAGGAAAGGAAAGGAAAGGAAAGGAAAGGAAAGGAAAGGAAAGGAAAGGAAAGGAAAGGAAAGGAAAGGAAAGGAAAGGAGACTTATTTTAGGTTATTGCTTATTCTATCTTTTTTGAAGATCTTGTGAAGGTTGAGAATGTAGGTTACACCCTTGTAAGTATTAGGCAATCAACTTTTCAAATAATATTTTCTGTCAGCATCAATAGATTAATTTTACCACCAGGGTGCCCTTCCACCCCCTCCCCCCCCAAAGGTATTGGCAGTTGACTATTTTCAATAAATTTTCCTTCAATATCCATTCTCCCTAGAACCTTAAACAACATTATTAATTTATCTTATAAAACTACTAAAAAAATTGCCTTCACCTGAAAAAATTTTCTTTGCATTTTCCTGTAAATGAAAGCATTTGTTAAAAATTCATCTATTAAAAGTTCACGCAGCACTAAAAAAAAGTTTCTGTACATTTGTTCCCATATTCACTCTTAAATTAAACAAATAAAATCAGGTAAGACAAAGGAAGGTTGAATACTGTACAGGCTCACAGGTAACCTTTTTCATTATTCTGAATGTTTCACTAAGTTTTGTAACTCTGATACTGGGACACCACTTCAATCTTGCTTCTCACAGTATAAAAGAAGCTTTCAAAAAAATTGCTTATCTTGCCTTGTTGAGCTGTCCAGGTGCATCAATGAAGCGTTCCCATAACTAACATATGTAATTCATAGCACCAAGCCGTTTGACCAGTCAGATAGGTTTCTAGTACCACACATGCACACTCACACTTCTTTACTGGTGTAACTATGATCCTACACAGATGTTTTATAAACCTGCTGTCGCAACATTAAAAAATAAGTGCATCAAGATTCTTTGTACATTCAAGTCACTTTCTAAGGCAAATTGTCTACTGTATGTACTTCCAACTGCTTTGGTATTTTTCTTCAGTTAATCGACAGTGGACATGGGTGTTCAAGCATGTGGACTGGTCAGTTCTGGCTGGAATGAGTGGACTTTCACTGGGAGCATGCCTTAGACCAAGATTTCTGCATGTTGAAAGCAAGCTTTTAAACTTCTGGATGGGGTGCAGACTATTTGCATATTTGGCCTATGATTGTTATGGGATGTCAGTATGCAGAGTTCAAAATAAAGTGTAAAACTGCTGATGAGCAATTAGGTTGTACCTCCCTTCCTAGCCACATTCTGTTTCTTTTTGTTTTCTGGCTACCTTAATTATGTATAAAAAGTATCCCCTTTGCGATAGCTCAGATTGACACAATTTTAAAACTTTACGTTCATGTGAGAGCATAAGCAGACTGCAGTAAGCGACACATCTATTGCCATGAGACTAATGCAGATCTAATTATTTATCACTTTCTCCTCCTATCCCTCTCTCTCTTTCTCTCACTTTGTTTTTCCCAGGTAGAGGGCAAATGCCTCTACCTGGCAGAAGTCAGTTAGGGCTGCTAGTGCATGGTTTCCAAACATTCAGCAGAGATGAAACTAGATCTGTATTTTTGCAGTAAATTGAACCCTACTATGGGAATACTGTTATTTCCCTTAGCAATCAGCAAAGACTGAAAAATATTAGTGACTTGCATCACCATGACACAGTACAGCATTTGGCAGGTATATAGTTCAGCAGTTGAAATAGATGGGTTGAATTTTTAGAAAAGGTGTTTTCAAACTGAAGAATTTCTGGAAACAAAGTTTAATCTTGGGGTGCATGGTCTTGTTCTTACAGTTCAATCTTGCATGCGGGAAAGGATTCATCTTGCATAACAACAGTGCTGCTGCTTGCCAAAACCATGATGTTGAGGTCCTGCTGTTTCTCATGGGTCTCTTGGTACCATTCCCTCATCACTTCTGAGTCATGGGTTGGGATTAAGGTCACCTGCAACACAAACAGGAGAAGTCCTGAGGAATGGACAACAGAAACAGCTGATAAGAACATCCTTGTAAGAAGCCCCAGCCAACAAGCATGTTGGAAAGAGTAGGTCTTTATGCAGTAAATACTTGAATAAATGGATGGCTAAAAGAAAATAAATAAACATGTAGGTAAGGTAAAAATACTGCAAAGAAGTACTTTATCAAAATAAAACCTTGGTTTTATAAGGTGCTGAGATGCAGCTTTCCAGAAAAGTAGCAGGCTGTAGCCTGCACTGATAGCTCTTCAGATTATGGCCAAATATTTTGTTTACTTAATGATTATGATGGAAAGGCACATAAAGTTGCCAAGTGTGTGACTACCACATAAACCATGAAACATTTACTTTTCTTTCCTACTTACAAACTGCAACGTTTCCAATCTTGGCTCATACACGGTATAGTAACAAGATGAAACAGCCAAATGGCCCTATAAACCAGCTCCCAACTGTTTTATTCACCAGGAACAGGTCAGAATGGGCAGAAATGGGGGAGTGGCTGAGTGCAGCGCAGCTCGGTGCTTCACTTGGGTGTCCTTTCACATCATCAGTGAAAGAAGGTGCCCAGCCTGGGTAACCCATTCCCTGGAAGTCATCGTCCACTCATCAGAGGTGCTCTGACTTCCCACAGTTGCTTCCCAGAGAAGGTTAAATTTCCAGGTAGAGATACTAGTGAAGAGCCTACCTGCATGTTACTCTCCCATTGTGCCTTGCCCTCCAGCAGGGAGTCCAGAACAGCCCTGCTTGGCTCCTCGGCTGCAGAATCATTCCCGCTCACCACGTAGTAGGATGACCGCACCCTCTTGAAAAACTCAACATCAACGTTCTTGCTATTGCTGTGGTTGGGAATATACACCAGATCCAAATACACTGGAGGTCCTGGAGGCACTGCTGTAGATTTTGCCACCTTAGTATTCCCAGGTCCTTCAGAAATCAAACAACAAAAGAATGTATCACAGGCTGGTTAAAAACATGCATTTATTACTGTAAAAACTGCTGAGGTGAGATGTGTGCAATTACGGCATTACCCTCCTACTTCTAATGATACGTTCCAGGTTTGTTGTATTCCAGTTACGATCGTAATGGGAGGAAAAACATGAATAACTGTACTATATAAGAAAATGAAAATGCACTATCACATAACCAACAAGTGACTGAACCTTTCCCAGTAATATACTACTATGATCCAACAATTACTATGCAGGGCTGTGATTACTGAATTACCATGCAATAATTGGTGGTATTATTTTCCAAGTTAACAAGTACAGCTTTTTTAAAGTCTCAGTTAAGCGCAATTATAAAACCTAGGGTCACACAGGGAGCCATGCAGATTTGAAGCACTCCCGAGATTTGGGGTACCAGCACATAGCAAGACATGGAGCTGTTGATATGCTCAGGTTGTCTTACAGGTGCATCAGGAAGATACTACACCTGAACAGAAAGAGAAGCAAAGAGGAACTTTGGAGGGCAGAGAAACTAATAAAGCAGTTACTTCAGGCAACTGAGAACAAGTGTTTGTTTGCCTGCTGGATCTGTATCTGCATACACAAATTAGTGACTTATCAAAAAAGGTAGGAGAAAGCATGTTTTTGCTGCTGTACATAGTATAGTACTTGTTCTAAGAAGAGCTTCCATCAAAAGTAGTTTCAAAGTTTAAATATACACATTAAAAATACTATAAAAAAAAGCAGCTTTTGCCATGCACTGGATCATGTTGTGAACTGAAAATCAGGATTCAACCAGTAATTTTATCCAGATTATCACTGTTTATACTCTACTAGCCTTCTTGTGTTATTACAGAGGATGAAGTTTGGTAAACAACAGTCTGAGCAATACACTCTATTTAGGGTCACATACTGTGAGGCCAGCAAAGTCTGTTACAGTTGTCCTGCCATTCATCATCGAGCAGTATGCCAAATAACCATCATGATATGATAAGATTTCCTGAACCAGAGAGTTTTTACTATTGGTTATGTTCAAAATCTTTTATCATAAAAAATCTGTGATATATCTTTCTGAATTGTGGATACCACCATTGAATAAAATATTAGATGTTACGTTTTATACTTAAATTACATTTTCAAATAGAGTCTTGTCTTCTGCTCTAGCATATACCAGAGAAGTATGCTTTAAGGCAGAAGAATCTCATATAGAGCTAAAGTGCTGGACAAACGTGCAGTATACTGCTGCTTTGAAAAACATCTACTAAGAGACATACCAACAATGGTGTAAGAATGGAACAGTGAGCCACTTAAAATGGAGAAATTAAAAAACAGTTGAATGCAGGCTTGTTTGTCCTGAATCCTAGACCTTTCTTTGTAAAAAAGCTTTCAGTAGAACATCGGTCCTGACAACAGCAAAATCAAAGTATCCCCCAAACATTCTCTAACAAGATCTGCCAGAAACAACAGATTAGCACAATGCCTTCAGTAACCTAATCCATATTATATTACTACTTAGAATACACAACAGTTGTTCACAATGACATTAATTTTCTGCATGTTTAGTCATCACTGATGGCATAAGACTTTAACTGGATTATGTGAGGTGCATGCTTAGTTCACTAAGTGTGCTTACTACTGTTATAATTTTTAAAAATACTCCTTTTAAAATTAATCCAGCAAAGTAATAAGAGTATCCAATGGCTGATAATACCTTAGCCTCCCACAATATTAAATTGCATTAATTAATGTTAACATAATTATGCCTACTTGTTTCTTACAATGAATAAAGTGGTTCACTTCGCTACTGATTTCACTTCACCTACAGAAGTTGCACTTTTAATTCTATTAGTTGTTTAACAGTTTAGACAGGTAGCATTTAGCTCTGTATATTTTATGTATTCTCTGAGCAAACTGACACATCAAGTTTCTCAGATTACAAAAGTTAATCTAGTGAATTTCATGCATTTAATTGTGGCCTTTAGATGCTGGATTTATATTTAAAACCTGGACTTTCTTTGGGGATTTGCTACAAACCACATTCTCAGCTGGTATAAAGGCAAACTAACTTCACTGAAACAACTAAGAAAATTTTAACACTAGGGAACTGCTATCTGTCTTTACCTGTGGTTGCAGTCTTCACAGACTTGGAAGTTGTTGTATTTGCTGCATTCTTGGTGTCCTTATCTTTCTCTTCCACTCGAGACTTTACTTCTGGATTAGAGATATTTTTGGTTGCCTTCTCCACAGATTCTTTCTTTTTTGGAGAAGCTGTTTTGGAAATTTTGTCTAAAGATTCTTTTATAGCTGGCTTTGGTGAAGCCACTTGTTTTGATTTACCATCACTTTTTTTAACAGGAGAAGACGACTTGGTCTTAGTACCCTGCTTTTTTGTCTTTGTCTTTTCTTTGAGGTCCTTCTTCAAAGGTTTACCCAAATTCTGATCAACAGGCAGAGCCTCTGGATCAACCATGGAAACATCAGGGTGCCTAGGGGAAGGGCTGCGATCCTGCATTGGGACAGGTGGCGGGTCAATGTGTTTGTATGTAATTGTCTTGTCCGTTGGAATGGTTTCTGACTCATCCTCCGAGTCAATGTTAGCATCTGCAGTGATGGAAGGACATTCCTCAGTCTCAGGGGGAACATCCGAATCAGTCTGAGATGGGGCAGACTCGCTCACGGATGTGGGAGGGGTTTCATCACACTGCCGCCCTTGCTGCTTTCCCCCAGAAGGTGGCTGGGCTCCCCCGGATTGAGTTAGTGGCTTCTGTTGATCTTGAGACTGTTCTTCACTTGCAAACCACTCAAGGGGGTTGGGGTTGATAAATGAGGGTGAAAGTTCTGTTTTGGGATGTTTATATTCGCAAGAGGACACGAGGCATAAGTCAACATCTTGACGGGATTCAGCTAATGATTTTCCTGGAGTGAAATGTGCACTTGCTTCATAGGAATAGCTAGTAGCTTCAGGTGACCTGGTGGCTCTCCCAGTTGTCTCATATGAGTAATCTGTGGCTTCAGGTGAACTGGAGGCTTTCCCAGTTTTCTCATAAGAGTACACCATGGCCTCTGGTGACCCGCTGGTTCTCCCAGTTGTCTCATAGCAGTAGCTAATAGCTTCTGGTGGTTTAGTGGTTTCCCCTGTTGTCTCATAGGAATAATCCATAGTATCAGGTGATGTGGTAGCTTTCTCAATCCTCTCATAGGAATAATCTGTGGCTTCAGGTGATTTGGTGGTTTTCCCAATTATCTCAAAGGAATAATCTCTGGCCTCAGGTGATCTGGTGGTTTTCCCTCTTGTCACATAGCAATAATCTGTGTCGCCAGGTGACCTAGTGGCTACCCCTGTTGTCTCGTAGGAATAATCTGGGGCCTCAGGTGACCTGGTGGTTTTCCCAGTCATTTTATAGGAATAATCTGTGGCCTCAGATGACCTCATATTTTTTGCAGTTATCTCATAGGAATAATCTGTGGCCTCAGGTGACCTAGTAGTTTTCCCAGTTGTCTCATAAGAATTATTCGTGGCCAGAGGTGATCTAGTAGATTTTCCAACTGCCTCATAGGAGTAGCTAATAACCTCTGGTGACCTACTAGTTTTCTCTGTGGCCTCATAAGAATAACTAAGTTCATCTGGTGACCTGCTGCTTTTCTCTGAATCGTCTTTTTCTGGGCTGAGTAAAGGTTCTGGACTGTGCTTTGTTAGGGGTTCCCGGTAACCAAATGCTTTGACAGAGGACACTTGCAGTGACAACGAAGGTGTGTGACTAGCTGACACCGCTTCTGTGACTGCAGGAGGTGAATCTGGAAAACTAGGAGAGTACAAAGGAGAAGATTCCCTTGGAGTTAATGGAGATAGGTCAGATTTTGGTGACAGCTTTTCTCCTAGGCTGTGCACCTTTTCTGAGGTAAAAGAAGAATTTAGTGACATATCTCTGGGTGGAACAGCACCTGAAAAAGTTTCCTCTGGCAGTGGTGATGTTACCTGGGAAGGTGTATGAGCTGATGAAGTTGAGGATGAAGCTTCAATTTGAGAAACTGAAATAATTTCTGAAATATCTTTCTCCTGAGAGTAAGATGACTGCTCCACAGGGGAAATCTTCCGTGCAAAAGTAGGCTCCTGTATATCTGAAGGGCTATAATCTACTTCTGTTGGTCCATTTTCAGATATATGGTGTATAGTAGTGCCTACAGTAGGATATTCTGGAGATTGCCTACTAAAGTCCATTGCTAAAGACTGCTCAGGGGACTCCTGACCAAATTCTACTGACATAGTTGACAGCTCAGATCTGTGATCGTGCACTGGCGTTCTTGATTTTGCAGTTTTAGGTGAGAAATCTGGTGGAGAAATTGACATGGGCCTTGGACACTCTTCCTTAGATGGAGACATTTCTGTTTCCTGAAAAGTTGTTGGTGTTTGTACAACTGACACTGAAAGGGAATCGTCAACTTCAGTAGAGTGGGGAGATCCAACCTCAGCATGCAAAGAAGGAGATACATCATCAGTAGTAGGTTCTGGAAATGAACTAGTAGCAACAGATGCTGTAGAGACAGAAGCTACTCCTTCTATATGCGAATAGGTGTCTTCTGCTACAACCTCATCAACAGGAGTTGCAGACTTGTCAGAAACAGTGCCTTCAGAAATTGACATTTTGGTATCTTCTTTTAAAGAACCAAACTGACTGATATCGATTTGAGTAGGTGAGAGATCACCTGCTAACTTCCGCTCATCCAATACCAGTGAAGACTGGGAGCTGCTGGGTTCTGTATCCTCCATTTTCCTTTCTAGGCTGAAGCTTTCCTTTATTACCATAAACTCCATGCTTTTTTCATCTTGTTTATCTTGGAAAAGGCCCACAGAGCTGGCTTCAGAAGCTGGGCTCATCTGAACAGGTGATTTTTCTTTTTCCGGTTTCCCCTCAGAAGGACTTTGGTAATCTCCAGTGGGAGACTTTAAATCAGCACTTAAAAATGTATCATAAGTAGTCTCTGAACCTATCAGTGGTGGACTCCGTAGAGGCGAGAGAACCTTTTCAATAGGATATTCTGAATCTGGCACAGGCTCATCCATAGGGCTTATTCTGGATTTTGCAGATTCATCTTTGACTTCACTGAATTCAAAGCTAACAGGAGCTTCTGTTGACTTTTCACTGGTTTCAGAGGGAAGCTGACTGGACTTTTCATCAGTGGGAGACTGATAATAAGGTGTGTGGCCAGCACTACCAGCAGCAGACTGTGAAGGAGATGCTACTTCCAACGTTTTATCTTCAGGGCTCGCACAGTGCTCTTCAGCAACTTCTTGACGTACATCAGGCAATGTAGCAATGGGGACAGGCTCAGATGAGACCTTGATCTCATTGGGAGTGAGCGAAAAGTTCACACTACGTTCACTCAGTGGTGTTTTGGCAACAGGTGATGGAGGGGACAAACTGTCATCTGGACTCTTGGTTGGACTATGTTTTCCACCAACATCTTCTTGATAGGGTTCTTTGATTTCTAATTTAGCAGTGCCTTGGATTTCACTTTCTTTTTGCATCTTGTATACATCTTGGAATGCAGATTTGCAGAATTTGTCTTCCTCTAATGAAGAAGGTGGTGAGATGGTGGAAGCTGAGGCATTATAGTCTTTACCTTCTGTGGCCTCTGTTTTGGATCCTTCAGATAATCCATTAAAAGCATCTGGAAGGGGAGAGAGCTTAGGTCTGCCAAATTCTTGAGAGTACAGTGATGTCTCATACTTGGTAATGTTCACATACTCCTGAGAGGGTGACTCGCTTTCCTCATTGTTAGTTTCATCACTCATGACATCCCGGGGTGTTGACATTTCATCCATTGGAGTTGGTTCACTGGATATTTCAATGGTAGACTGCGTGTAACCTGAAGTAGCAGTGAATTCCTCTGGTTGATCTTCTCTGTTTTCTTCATCAGAAACGGTGGCTTCACTTTCTGAACCACCAGGTAATGTCTCATCATGGATAGAGGATGCTGGTTCAACTGCTGGAGACTGTGGCTCTGAGCGCTTAGTTGGTGTAATTATAAGTAGGCCATATTTATCTTCAACTTCACCAGCTTCTGCAGCTTTGTCTACTACAGCCATCACATAATCTTCTTCAGCTTCTATTTTTTCAGTTTCCTCTTCATCTCTGATGTCTTCTGCTTTGTCTTCCTCCTCTTCTTCAGTCTCTTCAGTTTCTGCCTTTTCTATTGCTTCTTCCCTGTCTTCCTCAGCCCGTTCATCTGATGCCTCATAATCTCCCTTCTCAATATACTTTTCAGTTTTAATGTTAGCATCTGCTTCAGCCATTATTTCTTCTGAGCTCTCTTCAATTTTTCTTACTTTGTCCATATATGGTTTTGTGGTGTCCAGTGGTGTCTTTTCTTCTTCATCTTCACCTTGTTCTTCAGCTTCTTCTGTCTCTGCCTTTTCCTCATAATCTCCTGCTTCAGATGATTCTTCCAAGCCAGTACCTTCATCTTCAAACTTTTCATTGTCATCAACCCTGTGCTTTTCCACAGGTTCTAGTTCTTCGGGTGTCTGTTCACACTCACCCTCAGCCTCTGTGGTAGTTATGCCTTCATCAGAGGACTCAGCAGGTCCTTCATTATCTAATTTTTCTTTTTGTACTTCAAAGGCCTCTTTTTGTACTGTGCCAGTGAGTTTCAGTTCATCCTCTATAAGTGCAACTTCAGGTTTTGTTTCTTTTATTGTTTCTACTTCTTCAGCTTTTAATTCCTCAAAATCTTTTGTTAAGTCCTCTGGTGAAGACATAAGGGACCTCTCTGCTTCAAGCTCCTTTCCACTGGCTGAAATTTCTGCAGCTGCTACAGCTGCTACAGTTGTGGCAGCAACTCCAACTGCTGCAAGGGCAGCTTGTGCTCCACTGACTTTAATCTCCTTCTTCACAGTCTTAACTTTTCCTTTTTCCTTTGGCTTTCCAGCAGATACTGCTTCTTTTTTGGAAGGTTCCTCCTTCTTTTGTGGTTTAGGCTTTGCTGCTGGCTTTTTGGCTTCATTTGAAAGAGCAGCTGTCTTCTTTGTTTCTTTAGGAACCTTTTTGATGTCCTTTTTGGCTTCTTTTTCTTCCTTCTTAATTTCCTTCTTCTCTTCTTTTTTAGCTTCTTTTTTAGCTTCCTTTGGTGGAGCTTCTTTCTTTACTTCCTTCTTAGTTTCCTTCTTCTCTTCCTTTTTCACCTCTTTTTTAACTTCTTTCTTGATCTCTTCTTTTTTGGGTTTTTCCTCTTTTTTGATGGGTGTTTTCTCCTCTTTTTTAGAAACCTCTTTCTTTGTTTTTTCTTTGTCCTCTTTCTTTTCTTCAGGTTTTACTTTGACTTCCTTTTTCACTAGCTTCTCCTTTGATGCTTTTGGTTTTACATCTGTACCTTGTTTTTCAGGACTTTCAGATTTTAATAATTGTTCTTCTTTACTTGTTACGTCTTTTTCTGCCACTACAGCTTTGGTCTCCACCTTTGCTGCCTTCTCTTTTTTAACTGGAACTTTTTCTTTGCTTTCTATCTTCTGAGGCTTTTCTGGTGCTGGACTAGGCTTCACAGGCTCTGGTGTTTCTTCTTTAGATTCTTTTCTGACCGGCTTGCTTGGTGGTGTCTTTGCAGCAGGCTTGAGACTCTCCTTGCTGTCTGCTCGTTGTTTCAACTTTGCTTGTTTCACAGCTGGACTAGCAATGTTCCCAGCTAGGTCTTTTTGTGTAACCGTTGGTTGTTTAAGGAAGTCTAAGTGTTTGAGTTTTTCTAATCCCTCTAGAATATTATATTGGGTGCTGTTTCCAGGAAACAGAACTCGGATTATTTTTTCTGCAGGATTAGCTGGATGCCACACAATCAGGGATGAGACAGAGGTGAAGTAGGATAATGGAATGTCTAGTTCTTGGCCATTTGATAGCAGGAATTCAGCTTTATCTTTGTTAGTACCACTCCACTGCTGCATAAAATACTGCATCTCTTTGCTATTTTTGACAGGATTAAGCACATACATCTCAAGCTTGCCAACTCCCATTTTCTGAAATAAAATGATGGGGTCAATGGTATTTCCCACATTTCTGAAAAGAGGTTCTGGCTTCATAGACAATTTATTTAAATACTGGAGAGTAAAACAAGCTTCTTCTACACTCCTTTTTACTCTAAAGCTAGGATCCAGGTTCTTCAGGTTCTCCGGAACATTAAGGAATACAACTCCTAAATCAGGTGAGATCAGATTTTTCATCCAGTCACTGTTGGTAGTAGACCCTTGGGACTGTTCCTCTTCTAGTTCGGCTATCTTTCGCTGAAGCATGCTATTGATTCCTGGCAGGTTGTCATCTCCAATGTGAGTGAGCAGAATGGAATCTACTCTGTCCAAGTGCCGGATAAGTTTCCAAAAGCAAGATTTTCTTTCGGATCCTCCGTTGATAAGCATGTTGAATCCATTCACTGCAAACAATGCAGAGTCCCCTCTTCCCCCTGGGAAAATATAGCAGCAGGGTTTGGAGAGTTTCAAGAAGCCTCCAGAGGTTGGAGGTTCCAAAATGTCAAAGGGCGATGGCACTTCTACTGATTCTGACAGATACTCTGTGAATTCAGAGAGTCCTTCCATTTCGGGCAATATGGAAGCTGAGTTGAGTTTAATGTTAATAAAGTCTTGAAGGTTGTGTCTGTCAAGGTTGGAATTTTTCCAGTCCCCTTCCTCAGGACAGAAAAGAGTTAGGCTGGCTTTGTTGGCAGGGTGTGTAGTACTCAATAATTCACCAATCTAGGGTTATAAAACAAAAAGACAGGAAGATACATGTAAATTTATTTTTAATGACAATTAATGTCAGAACAAAATATTTCCTAATCAGATACATAAAACCTTTTTCATTCACTTCTGCACTGGTGAGTATGCATCCTAGAAGCTAAGTGAACCTGTTACTACAATTAGTTTCCTACTGTATTTTTTTTTAATACAAAGAGGGACCTTATTCCTGGCCTCTATTGCCCAAAGGATGACAGTACCCAAAAGTTCCCCCTTCCCTCCTCCACCCTTGATTGGAGGATCATAGAATCATAGAATGGTTTGGGTTGGAAGGGACCTTAAGCTCATCTAGTTCCAACCCCCCTGCAATGAGCAGGGACACCTTCCACTAGATTAGGTTGCTCAAAGCCTCATCCAACCTCGCTTTAAACTCTTCCAGGGAGGGGGCATCAACAACTTCTCTGGGCAACCTGTTCCAGTGTCTCACCACCCTCACAGGAAAGCATTTTTTCCTAATATCTAATCTAAATCTACTTTCCTCCACTTTAAAGCCATTACCCCTCATCCCAGGATGGTACAAGGTTTTATCTTGAGAGGGTATGACGACTATGAGGCTTACACTGACAGAGCTGCCACTATTTCTGTCATTGGCTCATGAGTCTCTCTGCTGCGTCAATCCACCCAGAAGAGCCAGACAAATATCTAAGAGGCAAATCACATCCTCTTAACAGGCAGAGAGTAACTGCAATCCAGAGGAGGCCAGCATCCTCCTCCCAGAGGCAGCTGCCTTCCTCACTCCTCCTCTCATGGGATGTATTTCAACATACCATTTTTACTGCAGTCCTTTCTGCATGCTGGCTCCTGAAAAGCCAGCACTGCTCCCAGATTAGCACAACTGACTACAGGAGAGTTTTCCAGAACACTAAGAAATGAGTTACTGCTTCAGAAATGCAAACAGCTACAAATTTTTTATTTCTGAGACTATGAGGTACAGAGCTAAAGAAGGAGACAGAAAAAACTGTTAGGGTTAAAAATGCTCCTGTCATTATTTTGATTTTAAACTCATGGACCACAGAAGCTGGAATATAGAATAACTCCATTAATTTTGAGAGTGTTTGGGAACATGCTAGTACCAAAACCAGCTGCTGAAATAAAGGCACAGAAAACAAAAAGTTCTGTGCCATAGGACAAAGAGCTGTTGTTCTGTTTCAGTCTGAACTAAAAACCAATAATCATCTCAGATTAATACACAAAAATGAAAATGTATGACATATTTTATACCTTTTCCTAATTCCACAGATACTTCCATTTGATTTCTTTTTTTTTTTTTTTTAACTGACAATTAGGTTAAATGTAGCCCATTTCTGTTCTATTTAATCTTAAAAAAGAGACCACCAAATTAGGTAAACTTTTTAAAGAAGTAATTTGGACATAAAATGTCAATGCAAAATATGCCAGCACAGCATCATGCAAAATGATACAACCTTCTTTGCAGAGACTCAATTGTCAGTTCAAGCTGTAGTAACAGTTCTCATAAAGATGATACAGATTATGCTGCAGCTGAATAATGTGAAAGTCTTGGACCACAAGCAAAATCAGCAGAAGATATTAATCTATAAAAAATTAGTAATATTTGACTGCACTGGATCTCTTTGTGCCTCCACGTGTGTATGTCTCACTTCCTTTCTTGGTGTTACATAATCTATTTTCATTATTTACCAAAAATAAAACTCAGAAAAGATGCAGTGGCTGTTATCCAAACAAAAATAATCCAACCAATAGCTAAAAAAAGCAGAAAATAAATACTTTCTATCTTCCATTGTCAGCCTTACTTAGAATCCAAACTATCTAACAGGAATATAAATAAATCTCGCCCATATGTCAGTCATGGCTTTGTCTGTAAAGGAGCAAAGAAAAAAAACAAAGCAATACAAAAAAGGATAAAAGACTGAAAAGGATGAAAGAAAAAGAAAATGGGAGAACCATTCCTGTTGTTTATTGCAGAAATAAAAAAGAGGGCCAGTACAGATCACAGCTCTGAAATGGATTTAGGATCTCAAGTGTACTCCTTATGCTATGTCTCTGTCAGGGTTGAAAACACATTATTGGGGAGAGACAAAAGTAGTACAAGACCAATTCCTCTGGATGAATAAATCCAAGTCTGTTGCACACATAAGGAGATAACCTGAGTACAGACAGTTTTTCATGCAGGGCCAATTTTCCGGATAGATAAAAAAATCATATAGTAATACACTGGGCTGATGAATATAGTGGGTCAAGTTTTGGGGTTAGTCCTCTCCAGTTTATGTTACACCATATTTGGATTTCTGCTATATATTCCTAAATTCTGCCTTTCTTTGCTCCTAGAAGTTGGCAAGCATAATGCAGATAGTGTTAAGCCACTGGTAGTGCAGGCCAATGTAAAGTTGGTGAAAAACTATTCCAGACAGATCACATCTGCTAGGAATAGCAAGTTGGCCCTAGAAAAGGCCTCAATGGGTTTGCATTTCAAATGATGACACCAAGGATATTGACAGTTCCACTGCTTACACTATTTGATAACACAGATGTAACCTCTCTTTCTCTTCCCTGAAGTCAGTCTGGGAGCAAAGAAATGTACCTGTGAACCTGATTGTCTTTTCAAGTGCTGAGAGATATCTGCTGAAGAATCTCAAGTTTTAAAAGTGTCACACCTGGTGAAGGCAAACAGCAAGTTGGCTGCTCAGAGAAAGCACAAGGGTATCCTACCCTGGACCACAAAAGTTAAAAGAAAGGTTTTCCTCTGCTAGCTGTTGTGGCAGAGGCAGTGGAATGGAGCATCTTCAATCTTCTGGCATGGGAAAGTTGAAAACACTGCTTTTAGGCATTGCCTGCAGGGAGTTCTGCAGGCTAGAGAGGGATTTCTGAACACAGACTTCATAAGAATATCCCCAAAGGGTATTTACTTATTTGTGAGACCATCCCATGACCATACTTCAGGTTTGGTACAATGAAGTAAAAATGGTCAGAGGCCAGAACCACCAACTCTACATAGTACTCATCAAATCTTACATGCTTATAGAATCATTTAGGTTGGAAAAGACCCTTAACTTCATTGAGTCCAACTGTAAAACTAACACTGCCAAGTCCACCAGGGTCAGGACAGCACAAGAAGTCTTTCCTCTGACCACCACTCATAAAACCACTAACTGCTTTTTTCTAGCCCTTTTCTCCCAATTTGTAGACCACCTAAAAAATGCTTCAAAAAATGTCACGTACACAGACTGCAGTATGGCAAATGTGATCTTTGCTTTTGTGAAATCTTGCAGAAGCAGTGAGAGCCCAAGGCTTTAGAAACAATAAGCTGGACTTTCCAAAACTTTCAATGAGCCAGGCTGGCTGGTTAGTGAGCCTGCTGCCAGCCACAGAGACAAGCCAAGTGAGCCTCACTCGCAGCCCACAGGAGTACGCCCTGCACGTCCACCCCTGCAGCAATCCCTTGGTGGCTGCAGCGTATGGCCAATCACCATCCCTGTTTTCCAGCCAACAATTTTGCTTCCTAACAGTAATGGTAGGATTTGCCCCTAGTTTTACATGTAATCATGAAGTAATTCTGTTACTAATTAGCCAGAGCTGCAAGGAGCTCAGGTTTGCAATTTCATAGAAAAGTAAGTAGGCAAACTGCCAGTCAGTTTTAGGCATCGCACATGTTTCAGAGAACAGCAATCCAGCTCTTTCCCCAACCCTACAACCATGTGCTGAACAAAGAGGCTTTGAGAATAGGATCAAATGGATACAATAAAGTCATGCTGGAGCTCATGCAAACTTTTGCTTTTTCAGTGCTGAATGTTCAAACCTCACTCCATTGACATGCTCCTAATTAATTTTGGAAACTAAATTCCCAGGGATGCAGCCATATAGTTTATTTAAATATATACTTTACACAGCAGCCAAACTAAGTGTGACAGCTTGTTTACTGTGGGTTCCTGCCCTGTGGGAGCTTTCAGACGCAGTACATTAAGCAAGACAGCAAAGCAACAAGTCATGAAACAAATGGCATTAAATACTGGTACACTTCATACCTATCTTTTGGGGTAAGTAAAAATGACAAGATTTACAGATTTCACTGGTCAAATTTTAAACACTACCATAAAGAGGCCAAACATGTAGGTGCTGCCAAAAACTACAGCTATTCCAACAGAGAGCCTCTGTCTTCTTTAATGTCACTTATTACTTAGCTGCTACCAGGCAAGAACCTAGTGTCAAGTTCGATTTGACTGCTTTGTATGTGCACCTTATATAAACAACCTGTATATTTTAAACACTGCACTATCTTCTTTCACTGTCAAAAGGTCCCTTGATTTTCTGTTTCTGAAAGTTACAATTTAATTCCTCAAATTAAAATTTAATTCTCTTGTTAAGCAAATTACATCAATTCTAAAGTACATTAAATAAATGTTTTGAAAGAAAGCCTATAACGAAGAGTAAAGAGCATCAGCATCAGGCCGCCAATGCTAACTCTAACACAGAGGGCCATTTTTAGTCTTCTAGAAACCTCTGCCATCACACAACAATGTATGGAAGACACTTTTCTGAACGTACCTCTTGATCTGTGAAGATCTCAATGAAGTTCTGGAAGGAGAAGGACCCTGACTGAAGAATCAGTTCTCCTGTGTTTTCAAAGCACTGTCCGGTTAGTACAAGGAGTTTGTGTCTCGCAGCATCTGTGATCATTAAGCGCACCTAGAGTGAAGGAGAGAAACATATCAACAATGAGAGTTCCATACCACGTTTTTCTATATTCTGCTGAGAACATGCAGTTTTACCTTTCCTAATTTAAAACATATTTTGCACCAGAGTCTCCCAGTAGTGTCAAAACATTATCGAGTTATAGTGCTGTTTAGAAAAGACAATGAGAAAGGTGCAAAAAGGAAAAAAGGAAGGACAAGAAGCAATTAGAGAGAAGGTCTGGTAAATAAACTAAACTAATGACATGGAAAAAAGACCAAAGAGGAGAACAGAATAAAATTTGAACGAAAAAAATAATATTTTCAATGAACAAACATGTTCATCAAATATACTCCTAGTGAATTTTAATAGCACTGTACCAGTACTAACTTGGTGAACTCTGTCCTATGTGCTAATGAGGGACAACAACATACATCAGACTCAGTTTTTGGAAGGCCATTCTCTCCTAGAGTACAGCATTACTTGCCTTTCAGTTGCAAAAATGTGACTGAAAAGTAACAGCCACAAGTCACATACAACAGTGGCGCATTTAGACTGTCATTCTGTTGTAAATTAAAGGACAATTCTGCTTCACCATAATCATAAACATGAACTTCAAGCACTCGGATACAGTCACATGCACTACTGAAATCTCATGATGTCACTAGCTATGGACACTGTGAGATTTTAAACTGTGCAAACCCAAGCCCTTTTTCAATATACAGTAGTAAATTAAGTGGATGCCTGACGGCACAAATCTGAGAAATAACCTTATTCCGCATTTTGAAATAACTCTTAATTATTTAAAGAGGATGCTTGTTACTTTACTTGGCCCTCACTGCAGCTACTAATAATTTCTGTTTCCTCCTCAGAGGGAAACTTACTTGCATGCTAAGAGAAATCCATATATCCATTATACTTCTGTTGGTTGAATTCAACTTAAATTTAAGAACGAAAATAAACAAAACTTGTTAAGATTCTGTACTGTTGAGTACATTTTTTGCAAATATTTCAAAAGTCTTGTCCAAAACTGAAAAATCAATTCAGCCTACAGTAAGGTATGAATTTCAAGTGCACTAATTCTTCTGTCTAAGGAGGAATTAAATTACAGCAGAATATTGATTCCAGAACAAGGCTATCTACAGATTAAACTAAAGGAGCAGAGTACATCTGTAACAACACCACATGATATTGCATTCAATCTCTATCTCCATGGAGAAGACAATCACCTCAGCTCTCTTAGCAAGCTATTCTTTCGATATTATCTTTCTTTTCATATTGATTGTTAAGCAGTCATTTGTTCTAAATATTTCCTGCTCATGCCAGGGAGGCCTGACTTGAATCTCTGCTGAACAACTTGTATTTTCAGTACAAGTAGAAAAGAGGCACTGAAGAGTATGTATCTGAATGAAGATTCTAACTCTACCACATTTTCATTGTTATTTTCTTAAACAACTGACCCTCATGCTGAGCAGCATTACGTTCCTTTAATTAAATGCAGGACTAATGACGGTCTGTCACTAATTGCACTAAATAATAATATATTCAGCAATATCCTTGCTGGATCAAGTTATCTATTTGTATTTCAGACAAAAATAGAGATAAGTGCAGGCGGCTGTCTGATGTCTGTTGCTCAAATCTTGTCTGTTTTAGCTGTATTAAAACCATAAAAGAACTGGCTTCCTCTTCTATGTTTTCTCTCATTGCTGCCAGCAGTGCCAGGCAGCCTGCCGACTTATGTTCAAACTCACCAGGTTTTCCAACAGCAAAATTATTTCCTGATTTGTGAATCACTGATATGTGACTGTCACATAATTCTCCTTCAACCTATTTTATTAATTGATGAAGAAATACATTCTGCAGAGCTAGCAAACTATGGCAAGAAAAAAAAAGTAAATACATGCTTGTAGACTACAGAGCATAATGTATGACACACATGGAAGACCAAGAGACACATAAATTCTGTGTCTGGGTACAACCAAGGCTTCCCGAAGGACGAACAGAAATTAATCTCCTGATTTCAAGACCTCTCAATTTCAGAAGAAATACTGCAAGGTGATGATTCTTTTTGGCTTTAGCCTTGTTTGAAGTCCCAAATTGTTTGAAGGAAATGAACAGCAAGATGTAGCCTCAGTCAAAACAGAGGTAAAGACAGAGTGTGAACAGAGACAGGAGTGTCAGCAGATCAGTAGTTTCCCAGACTCACAATACAGTCACAGGAGAGTTACAGCAACAGAGTGGAGTCTTCTTAAGAAGGAAGTAACTGTTCATGGAGGGTTCAGAAACTTGTTTTCTTTGACAAACTACAGAGTCTGTCCCTCCGAGTCTCTCTCTTCTGGGAGGGATTTTGGAATTTGACAGAACATGACAGGGAGCTTTGGGCAGAACCATGCTCAGACTACCACCAGTATGGCTATTACCAGCCAGATTAGCAGGAATTTATTTTAATATAATTTTCCTTTGTTTTTCCCAAATAGGCAGATTCAAGTTCCTCTTCTGCTGAAGTCAGAGGTCCATGGCATATCACCATCTCCCCAGATGCAAGCTGGAAATCTCTTGATATATGAAACTAAGTTTATTATTTGCCATAATGGGCAGAGCATGTCTATTCCAACCTTCAATTTAATTCTCCTGCCTCTTTCTTGTGATCTTTTTCTGGCTGGTATCCAGTCAGAGTCTTTCTTAGCCAGCCAAGGTAAATCTCAGCTTGTAACTTCTGGCTGTGACCCGTCTGGCAAGATGAAAGCAAATAAAAGATTGCCTCCCACAGTCTAGTGAGAGGAAAGTAACCCAGCCAAACACCATCAAGAGCCAAAGGAGTAAAGCCAGGGTTCAGAAGTCATTAATGGGCCTCAGACCACAGTCTTCCATGTGGTTATCCATCAAAAGTGTGACAAGCAACAGCAACAGAAATGGCATTTCCCTACTTTTGGCAGCTCCTTTGGCTCTCTCCCCCCTCCACACACACTTTATAGATTTTTATTCTGAATGTCTGAGTGTATTAAGAGCTGCTACTCTAACCCCCTTGCTCCTTTTCAAGTACCTAAATGCCTTTGAAGAGATTTTCAAGCATAGATTTTTAGTGAATAAGGTGTCATTAACTAAAGTGACTCACTTATTTAAACTTCAGAAATGTCATTTGTTGTGGTGTCTTTTCTCCTGCTTGTGTTTAATATCACTTAAGGTTAGTAACAAAACAGATTTTTCACTAGGTACTACAAGCAGTGCTGCTTCATTTCCCAACAGAAACAGTCCTGTGTCAGTGCTTCCCAGCATAGTCTAGCAATGCAATTATCCCTATTTTTCGACTTTCAGTCTCACTAGCTAAATTTGTCGATTTTGTCTTTGAGCTACACACTCAGTTTTTTGACTCTGCTCTAGTGAGTTCATGACGAATTGGCAGTCCTCTTCTGGGACACTCTCCAGAGTCCACTGATCCTGTCCCATGCTTTTTGAAGGACAAATAGATCAACCTAGAGTCACCACCACATAGCTGGTAATTCTTCTCAAAGACCTAAATTTGTCTCAGGGCATCTTCAGGTACTTTTTTCATGTGTAAAACAGGCATCCAGAGCTACCAAACAATGGAGGAGCAGAAGAAAAGCAGATGCAGTTTCACCACAGCTTCCTCCACTTCATCAATGAAGGGAATCTGGTGCATTATGAGAAAAGGAGGGAGTAGAAGTGTATTTGTCCTATGCCCCTGACATTTTGTCAGGAGTCTGGAAAATCAAGGAGAAAATCAAGGGACGGCTGATGTTTTCCATTATATTTGCTCCTTAACATGTCCTTTCACCCACAGTTAGCACCTGCTCTTAGTCTGCTAAGACTCTGAAAGACAGTATTGGGGTTTGTCAGTCACTATGCTGGAAGGTAATAACTGATGTTCAAGAATCATATCAACTACATCTGTTTCGCTACTCTCATCCTGTCCATTCAATGGAGCTTTTATGACACATCCAATGAAGTATTTCTGATTTACCTCAGTACTAACTGCTTCATCTGAGGGATTGATCAGGACTACAGTTTCTAAGACATCGCTTCTGTGGTGAAGAATCTTCTGACCTGCAAGCACAGAGAGAAAACAAAAATTAAATTTAACCAGCATGGTTTAAACAAGTGCTTTCCATGAGCTTCTTGTACATCCCACTGTGCAACAGCTCTCTGGTCACCTATAAGAGTGAACACCAGCCACAGCAACTGCTGTGCTGCTCATCGTTTCAGAAACACCCATGGCATGTGGTCCTGTGGGCCAGAAACATTGGTCCGGAAAATTCAAGGTAATGGAAACAAACTTGGCAACAGCAGCAGATCCTGTCCCTTCCTCCTGGCTGAAGGAGTCCCTGTAATTTACCTTGGTCTCACAGAGCTGGTGTGGATCAGGGACTGGAGCAACCGTCAATAGCTGAGCATCTGTCCCTGTATTTTCATGGACATATCTACACCACAGATACAGCTGAGATAACACAGACCTGTAACATGCCCAGGCAGTTTTAAATGAGCTATTTAGGAACTATTAGTGGCTTAGCTGCAGCAGCAGGAAAGTCAGCATAGGCTGCAAACTTCCCCTGCAAGAATCAAAGTGAATCCTTGGGCTGTGCACCAGTGCTACCCACCATAGCTAACAAGCACAATTTGTCAGACAAGCGAAGGAGCCCAGGGGTGTCCTTGCTGTCCATCACCACCAGCACTGTCCTGCATGGCACTCATGCTCCCTGTCACACACCTTAGGAGAGCTTCGCAGCCAGGCAGTGTCCCATACAGACCACAGGTCCCCACCCACACCAGGCAAACTAGGTGAAAGCTAAGACCCAACATACCAAAATTCCCCTTTTGAGAGTTCTGCTAATATTGATTAAGCTTGGGACACTGTGATAAATTCCCTAGGGGAAGGTTCAGACACTTGCTGTGCTGCCCTGCTTCATCTTTCTCCTGCTTACAAAAACCATAGCTAGCAATGTTAGGCAACAAGAGTGAACAGGCGTACAAATAACGGCTGGCTCCTGAATGAATAACGTCTGGGCAAGTTTGGCGCAGCCTCACAGCCCACTGGCTTTCATACTCAGTAGTTTGTATTTAATAGTGATATTCATCTGACTGGGAGTGGATGCCAAAAAAACACAACAGGATTCTTGACGGTTTTTTTTCTTATGTTAATTGGCAAGTTCTTATCAGGGTCTCTTTCTGTGAGAACTGCAGTGAGATTAATTAGCAGCCATATTGTAATTCAGAAATCCAGACTGGTAATTAGTCCAAAAAACCATAAAAGCTGTCCCTTCTGAGCAAACTGCTCAGTGCAATATTAATCAATTAAAATAATTGCACACAAAAGGAAGCCCAAGGGACACAGAACAAGTCACCTACAGCCAACTTAGAAAAACTCCCCTGTGAAGAGACATAAAGTAAGGAGTTCGAGAAGGGCCAGGCTGGAAGGAGCGGTGTGGGGCAGCCTGTGAGGGTGGGCAGCCAGCCTTTCCTACAGCCCCCCGCCTCAGGGGCTCAATGCTGCCCCCAGCCCTGCCCCGGGCAGCCCCCCAGGCAGCAGGCCCTGCCTGCACCCCTCCTGCCCCCGTCCTCACTCACCAAGCTCACAATGTGCTGCATCTTTTGCTTTTGCTCCAGGGAGGATCTACACTTATAAGCATAAAAGCTTATAATTAAATGATAGAAAGTGACAGAGAAGGAAAAAAATAACTGCTCCTAAAATGTGAGGTGTGGCTGTAGTTTACCCTCTTGTGTGTGGCAGTGCCCAGAGACTTGTGGATAATAATATAATTTGTTTGAAGAAACCTAGTTTTCTTAACACTTACTCTTTCTGCTGCACTTCCTTTAAAGAAAGAGACAGACTGTATATTACAAAAGGAGAGGAGGGCAGACGTCGCTCTGCAGCATCCAGTTCTGGCATGACCCTTTGTAATTACATTTATTTTTATAGCTGTGCTCCCTTGTCTCACAGGAATGCATATATAAGGCTACATTCAATAAAACATGCTGACAGCTCTGTTACCACAGATTCCTACAGAAGATAGATGATTTATGATCTGATATTTTAAGTATTCTGCAGATTTCCCTCAAATTAAGAGATTAGGCAGTGTTTACTGAATATAGTCTTTACTGTTGGTAAGGCAATAAAAAGAATCATCAGAAATTTCTTGTTTAATAGTTGGTGACACAGAGCACACACTTTGCTTAAGGTCAGACTAAGCCTCATATACCATTAGACATGAACGCACTAAACACAGGTAGAAAATAAATGCAATTAGCTACATGCAAAATTAGACAAAGATGCATGGTGTCCACCTGACTCAAAGCATCCACTTTGGGCTTCACTGAAGCCGCTCCAAGTCATATATCT